TCTCCATCCTTCGTTTCTTTTTGCCCCCAAAATTTTTTCTCTTTCACAAAGAGAGTCAGGTTCTCTACGTCAGTTGTTTTTGTTGCTAGCATTGGACTTGAGTTACTTACTCCTGCATTCCCACAATACTTCCTCCTGCTCGCAACTATTGCCAACATTGCCAAGCAAATAAGCCTGGCATGCTACTTAGCAACTCGGGTAAGCTATCAAGTCTTAAATTTGAAAATCGATATTATATGGAATTTCAAGTCTTCATCTTAAAGGTTGTTTTTATTAAGGATATGGTATTCCATGTTATACTTGCTCGATGAGAAAAGTATCAATCTGATAGTCAAACAAAGAAAGCCAACTTTATTTACCCATTGTGTTATTATGTTTCTGAGCAATAGGAGAATGAAAATCTTATTCATTGAATCAGATGGAATGAGTCCTATCGTATACAATGTTGGTGGGATGCTAACAGCTGTCATATCCCATATTTTGGCCTAGATAATAGGAGATTCTATCATAACTAAAAGATACCTGTAATCTGGTAAATCAGAAAAAAATAATAATAATAAGTTAAATACGGAATAAATTAATTATAATAATTTCCTAAATTATAGTAGGCTGACACGCTAACAGTTTCCTTTTATGTTTTATTGATATGATATGATGATGTGATAGAAACAAGGTGGAAAAAGAAAAAACTCAATGAGAAAACCTTTTCTTGCCCCTAATACATAATAGTTCAAAAATAATACTTTCCTGTCTGAGAGCAATACGATATGTGAGACTTTTTGGTGACGTTTTGCTTGATACCCATGATTTATGTTCTCATGCTAATTGCCAGCTTTATTTTGGTGTGTTGTCGAATTTTTCTTCCCAACATAATATTTATGCTTTACAAATGCATAAAGCATGTTGGTGTATTATAGCTTGTGTTTAATATCCTGTGCATTGCCGGGGAAAAAACCTTTACAGAATAAACTTAGAGAGTGCCAACTGTAACAATTCCTTATTATGTTTGGTTTGCTTTTCGTTGAGCCTTCAATTGATGGTCCACCTATTTTTCCATTTATTTTCGGATGGTTTGTATTGATTTATCTTGGTATTTACTCCTTTTTCCATTAACATTTTCAGAGGAAATATTTTGCAATCATTCCCCGTTTCTAATCTGTTAGTAATTGTTGTGCTTTGTTTCGCTGATGTTCTCTGTTTGTACAGTCTGCTGTCCTTCAAAGTTTTGCTGTGGCAGACAATCTCGGTGAAATTTCTGCAAAGGCACAGGTTAGTCTTTTTCTTCTTCTTCTTCTTCTTGTTTTTTTTTCCCCCCGTCTGGGTTACGTAGTTATTTTTCTTCCAATATATCCTAATAATTATATTCTTCACTTTGGTGTGTGTCAGATACAAACAGTGTGCTTTGACAACCTTGGCCTCTTGCTTGCTGCACTTCTAAATATGTTGTTTGAGAGCTATCCAAGGTTTTAATTTATTGTCATTCATTAAATGTTCTTACCTCGAGTATGAAATGTCAAAGTTGTCTGTCCCATCAAACAATGATGTAATTATAATTTTTTTTTCCTGTGTCCACACACACGCACACACATGTATGGGTGTGTGTACACAAACACATAACTTATTTTCATATACGTACACTAAAAGGTTTCACATTTTCTGAATAAATACTTGAATCTGTTTTCTTATTTACCTTGTTGATTTTCTGGCTAGGTAGACGACAAGTAGGTCTTCATTTCATTATTTATCTCATTTTTGCTGGCATGGACCTTCTTGGGATATATCAAGGCCTGAAGCATGTCCACCTACAAACTCTGACTAAGGTGTGTTATATGATGGCTTGAATTACAAGTTGCCTATGGATGAAGGGTACTTTTCTTTACTTTCTTGGGACAAAGTGATTTGATGGACACAATAGTGTTTTAAGACAAGTTAAGCAATAAGTACCAATTAAAAGATCTTCAAAATACTAATTTAAATGTGCCACTTGCCTCATTATTGAAGGAAACTATCATTCTACTCTGGATTTGTGTCAGGTAATCTTGGTTTTTTTTCATTTAAATGTGTTTTGCTTTCTGATGACACAGACGTTCAGTCGCATTTGCTTCAAATAGCTGACCATGGGTGTTTTCCCTCCTTCTTTTCTTCCCTTTTGACTGATTTCTATAAACAGTTTCCGATTCAAATCCTTTGAAGTTCGCTATAATCTAGTGAAAAAGATTGTAATTTTGAACATGTTTTCCCGGGGGCGGGGGTAATAAACTAGGTCATGATACCCCTCCACCTTCATGCCTATTGAGTTTCTCAGTTCCTCTTTTCAGATTTTACTGTAAACCTGTTTGGGAATATGTTGCTCATGCTTGATGTCTTATTCTTATTATTTTAGGATAGACTTGAAATTATACTCAATACTTGGATTGAGTCTGGATACGTTCCTACCCCTGCAGAGGTGAGCGAAAAAGAAGGAATTAGCATTCTGGGAATTGGAGGTGATATGCTGCTGATTCTTTTAGTTGTATTTAATGCTTTATAACTCATACAATTGAATTGTGAGAAATTGTAGTCAATTGACTAGAATTTGATCAGGTCAAAAATCGTGGCCAATTAGAATAGGGTGTTTAAATTCCAGCAACCAAATAGCCTGGTGGTCGATAGAAGCAATGCAACGTATAACTGCAGAGGATTTTTATTTCATATGTGTGGAGATCTGTTCCAAAAGATTAAAGAGAATTGGAGAGGTGAGCTTTGCTAATGAACTCATTTTGGAGCTCCTTTGCTTCCTAAACTTCCAACGAACAGTTCTGTGTTACAAGTGTTCTTATGCTGATTACTTTGTAACCACCCAGCCCGTTGTCCTTCTTTCCTTGCGTGAAGGAGCTGGAGCATTGCATATAATAATGGGTTTGCTTCAGGTGAGACTGCTTAATGTTTTTTCCTCCCTTTTTTTTTTTTTTGGGTAACTATTTGGATCAATGTCATGATGAATGCATCTCATCTCACTTGGTTTGGCTAGACTAGGTGGTCTCTCTATCTTCTCTTCTTTCTTTTTGGTGTGTGCTTGAGCAGTAGTTTTTCTAAACCCAGTTCCCATTTTGTAAAACCTTGTTTCCTGAGAGTGACTCTCTTTTATTATTTTTTTTTCCCCCCTCTTAAATAGCAGCACCTAGTTTCAGGGTAACGTTCTGTTTTAGAAAAGTCAGGTGGTCTGTTTTAGAAAAGTCAGCTTTGAGCCACCGAAACAAGTGTTTGCAAAACAAGATTTTCCGAAAGTCAATTTGAACCTCCTGAACTACTAGCCAGACACGCACTAACATATTTAGTTTCACATTAGAAATAATCAAAACCATGATTTTTGATGGAAGTACGTAACCGCTTGTTTTCACCAAAACGTTGGTGCAAAACCAAACACGCAGTGACTGCCTCACTTGGTTTAGGTATAGTAGAAAGCTTCTCTATTTTTTTTTTCCCCCTTTCGTGTTTTATTCCTGTTTTGATTGTGTAGATTATCCTTGATACGACCTTTTTTTTTTTTGGGGGGGGGGGGGTGGGATTTGCTGCTTAGGCTTGCTCCATCCGGAGGGTCCTCATTGCAGATTGGAGTAGGTGGGAGAGTCGTGTCGGGGAAAGCTATGAGTCAGACTCAGCCCCTGATGATTGGTCTATGATCATTGAGGATAGCAAGACGTATGCCAAAAGGGATCTGCCTTGTCTGATGGAACAAATTTTGGAGAAGGGCTGGGAAGTCAAGAACATTTTGTTATCAGGAACGGAGATGATTCGATTCACTTTCAATTGTGGTTATTGAATTTTGTTGGGCTCCTCCATAACGTGGGAGTATTTTAGGTTTACATTTGTGGAGTCAAAATTGAGTTGACCCACAACTTCTAGATTTTTGATGTTTTATTGAACTTTGCAGAAATGCCTCATACTAGGAATACTAAGAATAGCATTGCCAAGCCCCTAAATGAAAATATGAAGATATGATAGACATCCAACATGACAAGTCTTCTGTTTTAGTAGATAATTTTTTTGATTAAATTCTGAAATCTTTTAGCCCAGTAGAAAATAAGTACAACAAACAAGATATTGTTTAGCTTTCCTCGTCAACTTCCACCTTTTGTTTGAGATGGAGTTTGATAAAGAATTCAAAATTTACTTCCTATGTTATGGGAAGATTTTTAGTTAACAAAATTAAGACTCTGTATGGTAACAGCCTGCCAATCTTTATAAACGGTGAACAAGAATAGCTGAGTATTCTCATAATGGTTTTGGTTATCCTTGCAATGTGGTGTTGAGTTGATAAAGCAGTGGATAGTGTCCTGCTCTCTTTCCTTTTCCGTACTTCACTTTTTCCATGTTCTGAATTTTCCACAATTTCAGAGCCCCTTCGCCGGTGTAGCCATGTGCCCACTTCCTCCATTTTAGCTACCAAGTTTAATGATGTAGTTTATTATTTTTGTATTGATTCATATAGTACATTGCCTATTCCCTCCTCAACTTTAATGTAAAATATTTTTTAAAAGTTATATAAATATAAAATACTTTGGAAAATGTTAAAACATAAAATAAAATATTAACACATTAAATTCTTTTTTATAAATACCATCATTAATTATAGGAAAAATGGCAAAACAGATAACCAAACTAGAAAAATTGGAAATTGAGACCTATGATAATATTAATATGGGTTTTGATAATTTTTGTGAAAAGATTCTTATATGTAATTTTTTTTATCTCAGTGGGTTTTTTTTTGTGATTTTTCCTTAATTATATTGTAGATAGAGATTATATCAACTAGAAATTAAAGACTCTTTAAGTTGATTTTAATTGCAAGTGAATCTTGAAAAATAATACTACCTCTGGTCTTTAATATATAAAGGTTGGTTGATTAATTTGAGTAGATTAAAAAAAAAAACTTTAGTTACTTGTAATAAATAGACATTTTTTCTAAAACACCTTTGCTAATAATATATATTAGCTAGAGTTAAAAATCAAACTAGTTCTTATATACAGAATCAAAGATAGTATTAATTTTTAAAATGATACAAATTACACTTAACTACTTTCTTTTGAAGTAGCTAAAAGTGCTTTATAGTATGTATAATTCCTTCATAGCCTCTCAATCTGAGTTGGGCTCTCGTCTTAACAAAATTACTTTCCCCTACAAACATAGGTCAAACAAGCAACAAACTAACAATGATTTCCACTGCAAACACAATTAGAAGCTAGCCATTGAGGTCAGCTAATACAAAAAAAGGATTATATTATATGATGTGAACGTTCACATATCCTTCCTTTTTCCAAAAGAAAAAAAGGGAAATTTAGTTTTAAATAAGCCCCCATCTTTTAAATCACAAGGTGGGTTTGAATGTCGATGTCATGCCTGAAATTCCTTGAAGATGATGCAAGGATTTCGATTCTACCGTAATACACTTCTGGAGGCTGGTTTAGTTATAGCTTCGACCAGTCTGTACATCCAGCGATCCAGCATCCCTATAAATGTAAACACTATAATTTTTACACATGAAACAAGAAAATCACAAATATATGCAAGAGATGCACATGGTTCCATTTTTCAAAACAAAAAAAAAAAAACTAAATTCAATTAATTTAAATAGTCAAAATATTTTCTTATTCAAATATTTTTAAAGAGAATAATATAAAAAAAAAGATATATACTTTTATAATTAAAAAATATTATAACTGAATTCATTTTGAGTTAGATACAGCCATATCTATTTTTTTTTTCTCAGGTGGACTGCCATATCTATTTTTATAAAATTATAAAGATAAAATATATTCTTCTTGGTATGAATGAAAAAATTTCAATTTCAATTTTAAAATTATTTGAAAGAAAGTACCTAATAGGTATTGAAAACAAAGGTATTCCCAAAATGTTCTCTTTAAAAAATTTAACCATTTAAGATAATTATTTTACATTTCAACAAAATATATATAATTTCAGGGAAAGTATGTTCTCATTTTAATCATGTAAGATGTCAGCATATAATAAAGTTATATCTCAAGAGAGAGTACTTTTGGTCCGATTTCACAAAAATAAAAGTCATCATATTTCATAAAATTCCCAAATTTTGACCAAGTCATTTTTTGGGAGACAAAATATAACACTCCAGACTCAGGAGTTACTGCAGTTATAATAACATGGCATGCAAGATAGATCATACTAAGTTGGAGCAGAATTTTAGCCTTGGTTTGAAAGCAAACCGAACCCATGAATACTCTTATAAATGGAGCATAATCAGAGTGTGATTAAAGAGAAAAACCTGTCAAGGCAAAGGTTCCGCCCAGCACAGCACAAAGCCGAGTAATGAAATGAAGAAAACTACGGCGCTCTTCTCTAATGGTGACGGTAATAGGTGACAGATCATACAAGAAGTAGACAGCTGCAAAGAACAAATAGAAGAGATGATCAGAATCAAAAAGTCAGAAATAAACATAGTCAACCCTAAACACAAGCTCAACCTGGCCAGGTCCGGTCTTGATCGTTCATGGGGGAAAAGTATTCTGTAACTGAGAACTGATTAGTAGGCAAAACTTCCTTTGATATGTACCTGTATTCAGTGGGAACAACCTGCATTACAACAGCCAAAACTTTAATATATCTTCAAGCAGCTTCAAGTGCAAAAATATGAGTGATTTGATATTTTAACCACAAAAATTCGTAATCAATCCAACTGGTAATATAGCATCTCCGTTTCTTCTCTGAGATGGCAGACTAAAGAGAACAATGCTAATCGCCATGAACTCATCAACTCATTCTAGTCTACATTTTTCCAGGGTCAAAATGAAAATCTCCTTCACTTCTCTAAAGGTGACCCAGCCCTACCCTTTCCTACGACATAGCTCTAACGTATATTACGCACGCTTTTCCATCACCTGAAAGACATTCCAGTGATCAGTACCATCCTATAGTTTAAGTACCTTAAACTATTCGACTTTATAATTCTACCGAACAAAAAGTCAGTGCTCTATATTAGTCAAATTATTCTCCATTTTATTAGCACAAGGGGCAAGTCGAAACTAGCATCATTGTGGGATCATCGTGATGCCGGTAGTGAGAGAAATATCATAGATAAATATTATTTTAAATTATTTTAGATATTTTAATTTTAATAATATTATTTAGGTTGTTCATAAGATCAGTTTATTGTGGATAGGATCCAGTTTGTTGTGCTTTATCCACTAGAGTCAATCCCAAGACTTAAGGGATTATTTCTTGATTTTATTTGATTATTTTAATGAAATTACAGTATATAAATAGACTAGCCTCCTAGAATATAATTTCAAAAATTAATAAAAGGTAGGGAGATTTAATAAGAAAAGTAAAGCATCTTGCTCAACCCTCCCTTGCCAGCTAGACTTGGGAGGATCTCCAAAGGAATAAAACCGACATACCACTACTCAATCCCTACTTGCAGGGAGATTAGTCTATTTATAAATTATAACTACATCAAAATAATCAAATTAAATTTAGAAATATTTCCTAAAATCTTAGGATTTGAATCTAACAAATATACAATAATAAAGTAATTACTTTCTACTCTTATAATACTAAATATAAGACTCATTTTATAGTGCAGATCCTTAGTATTGATCTTGTCAACAACCTAAATAATATTATTAAATAGAAAATATCTAAAATAAATTAAAATAATATTTATCCACTTATATTTCTCTAACTTCCCACATCAACCACCATCCCACAATAATTAGTACTCTATCATTATACAGGATAGGCAGAGAGAAAGAAAGAAGAAAAATCTTTATTAAGATATGAAATCTGAATCTAACTTCACAAATTAATAAAAGGTGGGAATATCTAATCAGAAAAAGAGGGTAAGTAGCGTTCCCTTGCTAGCCAAAGACTTAGGAGGATCTCCAAAGGAATGAAACTGAAATATCAGTGCTCAATGACTTGCTTCTATTTACTAAAAGAATCAAATAAAATCCAGAAATAATCCCTAAAATCTTACAACTGACACTAGCGAATAAACCATTAACAAACCGGATCCTACCTACAACAATATGGATCCTTGTTTGACTCCTAAAATCTCTTATCAAATATTCAAGATAAATTGATCCCATCAACAACCTAAGTAATATTATTAAATAAAAAATATCTAAAATAACTTTAAATAATATTTATCCCTGATTTTCCCTAACTCGCCACATTACCCATTATCCCACAATAACTGGTACTCCATCAAGATCAAACCCACATATGGAAGTGAGATTAATGCCACTAGGTCATAGGACCATTGGCTTATTCTCCAGCTTTTTTGGGCCAATGTGTACAAGCCATGTCTAAGATTAAAATATTTATACTTTTTAATCAGACACATGTAGGCTAGACTTTGCAATGTTTCCTGGAGTCAAACATACCCAAAAATAAGTGTTAATGTTCTATAAAGATTTATCAATATTGAGAGCAGAAAAAATGAGAAGAAATACAAGTTGCCATTCTCCGAAAAACAATATCAGAAAAGAGTGTTCAATAAGGGCCTAAAAGTATAGAGAATAGCAATCTATAGAAAGAATGTTATGCAGACCAGGTTGTTGATTATTCAAAAGACAAGCCAGTATTCCAACCTTAACGTAATATTTGAATGTCCCACTCGCATCATGCAGAATTCTCGTCGTCCCATCCATGAGTGGATTGTGAAGTCCTGGATATTTGGGGCCAAACGACAAATCATGGATGACATGACTTACATTCACATTCTTTGATCCTCCAAAAATCTGCAGAAAACCAGTAAGATTGGATAAGACTTCTGATATCTTGTAAAACAAAAAAAGGGTGAGAATTTATCGCATCAAATTTAATTTGATAAGCTCCCAAAGAATTTAACATAAATCGCACTGAAGCAACTTGAGTAAATAATCCACTTTAAGATAATAGGAATTAATTTCCAAATAAAAATCCAGGGCATTCAAGCTCAATTTAGACTCTTGCCTAGCTAAAGAAAACAAACAACAAAAGATATAGAAACAAATGAAAGAAAGGATCCCCTTGTTGGTAATAGGCCTGCCGTCATCATATGGGCTCTTCTTATGGTTAACCTAGTTTTCCTATTTAAGAATATAGTGATTATTTCCTAAGATCATATCTGCATTTATTACGCATTATTTCAGTTTATGTATCCCATGATTCTAGGAGGATTTTAGGGGATTAGATCTGATTACATCTCTTCTACTCTACTTTTATATGTAATCGCTATCTCATGAATAAAATTTAGAGCTGCTTTCTCTCATAATCTTTCATGGTATCAGAGTTGTGGTCATCGGCTCAATGTCTTTCAGAGCAGTCCTAATGAATCAGCCGAGAGCTTTCACTGTTGATGATGGAAACACTAGTCCATTATCGACTAGAGGGAGCTCAAAAGATTGGTTCCGAGTCACGTGGAGGAGACCATGGAGCGAATTCATCATCGCTTCTTGGGATGCCAGGAACGTGTCGTATTCTCATCCACATGCGATGATCACTCATCGTTTCAACAGTAACAACTATCTCCAATG